AACATTATGCCCTGCTAAGCCGAGTGACGGTGAAGGGTCTCAAGTAGCAGAGGGCCAGACAACGTCTTGAGTCTTGCCGTAAAAGAGATCCCCAACTCACAGAGAGCTCTGAGCTCCCCCGGTAACCTGCCTTGTTGGTACCAAAACATGCCAGGATCTAGACAGAACTTGGCTGGCCCAGTGGTTTTAAGAAATCACTTGCAGGGGACGGCTACTGTCCAGAAACAACACGGGTCTCAGAACGACGCTCTCGCCACCATGGCCCTGGTTAGACCGTTCTGGACATCAGCTGAACCGGGAGCACCGGCTCTCTTGAAGAGCAATGTGCGTGTTATACACACACTAGATACCATCGGCAGGGGGGAGCCCGAAAACACCCGCACGCAAGCCTCACGTGCACCCAATGCGCTGACCGGCTGCTATGGGTTTCCAGCGCGTCAGGCTTTGCTTGCAGATGGTGCGAGCTCGGTGGAGAAGGGGTACGGAGGGTTTATCTGACTGTGCAAGTTCCTGATGTCTTCTCCCTGCTCCCTTCCACTGTGCTGATTAGTGTAGTCCTGGCCTTTTTGGCCAAAGAAAACTCTCTGGCTTTGCTTCCCCCTGCTCCTACCATGCCTGCTGGGTTTGGCCAGGAGCAAAGCCCCTCAGAGAGGGGCGCTGCTATGTCATGCCCCTTCCCTCTGAGATTGGCCGCTTGACCCCCACTGCCAGCTTCATCAGCTTCATCCCAGCGGATCCGGAGAGCTGGCCTGGAGATGGAGCTGGGAGAGCAGCTGGTTGGAAAGGGTGGAAGAGAAGTGAAAAATAAAACAAACACAATGGCAATTCTTCTCTAAACCCCTCTTCTTAACCCAACGAGCCTCTCGGCCAGCGAAGCATGATGAGCATGAAGTGTTATATAAAGAAGATAATTATAAAGGGATTTAATGCTTGGCGGGCTTAAATTGTGACGTCCGTGGCAGAGGCAACGCGCGTGTGTGCCGAGCTAGCTGGGCGCCCCAGCTCGCCGTTCTGCGAGCGCCCAGCGCCGCCGGGGGACGAGGTTTGTTTTATGGAGGAAGAGCGCGTGGGGGCCCCTTTCTCGCCGACAATGGCAGCTCCGTTCCCACCTCCTCCCAGGTTTATTCCACCCCTGATTAATGATGTTGTCTGCCTGATTTATGGTCCACCCCAACAGATTAGAGTTTCCCCCTTCCGCCTCCCCCCACCTCGGGAGGCGCAGCCACACTCCGCTGGAAATATTAGAGAATTATTAAATAAACATTCATACGTCATGTCTCTTCCCACACTGAGCTCATCACCGTCAACACTCAGCCGCCCGGGCCTGTTTGCTTTCCCGGTGACACCGAACAGCTGGAGTGATTCATGGAGAGGCTGGCTACAATGTTTCGTGTCATATATCATGCTAGCAGCGCTCTCTGCCCCGACTGAGATAAACTGATCAACCACAACGGGCTGGAATGAATTTATGACAACACAAAATTGAAGAAAACAAATGCGAGGTGACCCAGCGGGCCACTCACCCAGACTCCGGTGCTGGCCTGCAATCTAGTTTGGTGGCAGAAAGCAAAATTGAACATTGGCACTGTGAATTAAGATGCTGCCTTTTCACCCCGGGGAACCTTGATTTCAAAATGGCGAAGGGCTACTTGGAGAGCAGGAGGGAAGGGGGGAGAGATGCCGCGGCAGCGCCGGGCTTGGCTGAATGCTGTTGCTGGCGGAGGAGATGAGACACGACGGGGACTGGTTAGGGTCTCCGGGGCCGGGGCAAAGTGACGTGCCCGGGTGACCCGGAGGTGCGCGTTTCACATGCTGCCCCATACCCTCTGCTAATCCCTCCCTGCTCGGCAGGGCCGTTTGGTCCTGATGCACGGGGCCGGGATAGGTCCACGATGACCCTCTAGGACGAGAGGCAGAGAGCACAGGAAGGTTCAGAGGGACCGGATAAATTCACGGGTGATGGATCTAGTCGCAGCTGCTGAACTGAACGGTTGGAGACGTTTCTTTGGGCTTCTCCAAGCCAGTAGACGCCAGGGGCGGTTGGAAGCTCTCCCTCTCTAATGCTTCTCACCCTTTTGGTGAAGGTCATAGGTAGTCCACTTCTGCCACCAGAGATGAGCTAGGGGTTTGTCCCCGGCATGATGCTTCTTACTTTAAGTGCATCACACATGGGCACCGCGTGATGTTCATATGCAGAACATAGAAGCATGAAGTCGGTGGTGGGAGAACAGAGACCCGTCGAGGAGGTGGGGAGATTGGCGGGGCCTTTCCCCGATGTCCTACACTAGCCGCTGAGCATGGAGACCCTTTGGAGGAGGCCTGGATGCAGCTCCCGTGAACTTTTGGGCACCGTATAAGAGCGGCATGCCAAAGAAAGGACAGCGCGCTGTACTGTATGAGTTAATTAAAAAGATACTCTCCCTGCCCAGACTTATTTTTGGGAAGGGGAGAAGGAGCATCTGTTGTGTAGAAGTCAGATTGATTAGCGGGATCAGCTATAACTCCATTACCTGCTGCTCTAAGTGGGGAGCACAGCTGCCGCAGGTGAGAAACCGCGTGCTTCGAAATGCTGCTTAAAATGCTAATCAGATGCTACCAGGAGCTTAACAAGCCAATCAATAAACCCCCACATTTAAAAGCAAAAATTCAAGTTATGAACAACTGAGCCAAGTGATTCTCTTGAACACCCGCTGCAAGCGCCACCCAAAACAAGAAAAATGAAACCAATTTAGCTCCAGATTAAGAAACAGGAACTGGAGATGAATCAATTTAGCCTGTTGGGCTGGGTCACCATATATCACGGCTCAGCGGTGGAGTGGTAGCAGCCAGACAGTGCAAACTTCCCCCCTCCCTTCCTGTAGGCTTCTAGGTCTGATCCCTGTTACCAATTAATTTAACAGAGCCCCTCTACACAGACAAACACACAGAGCATCCAGGCTCTTTAACCAGCAGGACAGAAACTATTCATCACACACGAACCTCAGAGGAAAGGAGGGGAGGTAGCGTTTCAGGTGGAGGATTCCTATATCGCTTTCTGATCCTGATGGAAATACAGGCCTTTAAATAAAACGCCTTGGCTCGCCCCATTCTTTACAGAAAGGAATTTCTCTCTGGAAGGGTCAAGACATGAAGCCTTTACCTATAATTTCTAATGGGTTTTGCCACCTCCGTGGCAGCTCCAGCAAGCCTGGAAGTTGAAGTGGAGCAAAGATAATATGGGGCAGGGGACATCCACACATATTTCACGATGCAGAGTTATTGTCCATCTTGTCCAGAAAGTGCATTGGGACCCTTGCGAAGGCACTAGATAAAGCTTTAATAATCTGATCAAAGAAGCTGTGTCAATTTCATCACTTGGGCTCAAGTGTTCTGGAAAATGTCAAATCCTTTTGGCTTGTGCTGTTTAAAGATTTTCTATAGGAGCGGATTTGGGAGGGTGGAGGCCCACGGGCTTTCCCAGGAGCTGAGCAAGGCCTCCCGGGGTGCTGAGCCCAACAGAGTGATGCTGAGGGGATTCAAGCGGGTGCCTGTATCCCTACCACTGACACAGAAGGAGATGACTTGAGAGGGGGACTCCTATCACATGGATCTCTTGGGGTTCAGGAGTCCCCAGTCCTTGGCTGGAACCTGTTCACCAAGAAGCATTGAAGGAGCGTAAATAAAGCAAATGGCCTGTCCCGGAGATAGGCAAAGCACAAGGTTTTAAAAAAGCTGCTAAGACAGAGGTGCAAAGAGGGAGTTCCCTCAGTTCCCACCCAGCCAGTCCCAAAGGTGCATTAGCTGGTGGAGTCCAAAAATGCACAGGGGACTCAGCTTGCTGCAGTCAGGTTGGGGTGGGTCTCTGAGGAGGCGGCACTGAGTTTTAAACTGAAGCAGCAGGCAGCCCATGCACAAGCAGGTCTTCCTCATCCCAAATCACAAGCGGGCTGGGAACAAGGACACAAATTCCAGCTCAACTTAAAACGCCATCTTGGCGCTCCTGTCTCACTCGCAACAGGTGTACCCTTTGCCTGATCTTTGGGTAACGTTTTTATTTTAGGCAGTCATCAGCTCTCAAAAAAAAAAGGGAATTAAAATATCTATGGAGAGACTCTACAAGGACGGGGGATTGATCTCATATAGGAGCCAAAAGCAGATTGGGAACCCTGGCTAGATGGACATGTGGGAGGGAGGGAGGGAAGCCCAAGCACAGCACCATCCAAGGGCAGAGAGCAGGGTTTGGCTTGGTTCTGGACAGGGCCAAGTGACAATGCCTGCACGGAGGTCAAAAGGAGAGCAAAAAGGTGGAAGAGGAGTGCTGAAGAGCCCTATAAGCTACGAAGCAAGTCAGTAGCTGGACCCCAAGCTCCTGAATCTGCTCAAGGATACAATACACTTGCATCCTTTGCGATACAGGGGGTCTAAGGATGCTGCATATTAGCAACCTTGACACATCAAGCAAAGACCCATGCTGACTAGCCACAGGACACAAGCATTCAGCTCTGCCCTCAGACGAAGGCACTAGGGTTGCTGGAGTCCTGGGGCTGCTGAGAATCCTTCCCTGCATGGGGTAGGTACGTACCACTGAAGGAGCTGAACAGAGAGGGAAGCATGGGACACTGGGAGGCTTTGAGAGGGGAATCCCAAAGCTGGCAGCATGCTCACACAACACACCCCCATCCCACCTTCCTGGTGCTGAAGACAGCTCTTCTGCGAGCCAAGGCATGAAGGCCAGTTTGTTTCCCCAGCAAATGAGAAGTGCAAAAAAGAGGTGGTCTCACCCCAGGCCTGCCTCCTGTATCAGCTGCATGTGATGCTGGGAGCTAAGAGCAGCTGCGATGCAGTGCTGCTGTTCAGCATGCGGGGATTTTGTTTTGGGGTAATTGCTGCTGTGATTAAGGAGGGCAAAAAGATGCCCATCACTATTCCTCCATGAGTTAATATCCCCCTTTCTCCCTGCAAGGGTCCTGGGAAGTCACCCGACACCCCTGGGAGGGCAGGACTGCCCGCTATGCACTCACTTTTCAATGTCGCTGTTCTTACAGGTCTTTTGCATGGTCTCCTGTTTACTGCTCTCCCCGTTACTCGTCGAGGGCATTTCTGCAGAGGGAAGGAACAGCCTGGTTAGTAAAAGGAACATCTGCTCCATGCAAACGGGAGGCAGGTGCAGGCATGCAGAGGGGAAAGGGGGACAATGAGTCACTGCTTTATCACAGGATCATAGTGTCAATTCCTGGAGAATGAGGAGAGACTGACACGATGGCAGCCAGGACAGAGGGCTCTGAGATGGCACAAGTGCCACACTCGTTGTACACATGCTTGAATGATCCACATGGCTTTTGCTCGCAGTGGCAGCCAGGAATTCATTCAATAAAGGTTTGATGCAGCCGCTGTGCAGGACAGGCTTCCTGCAGGGATAGAAGTGAGCCCCACAGGGGAAGCTGGGGGGAAAAAGAGGCATGACTGACAAAAGGGACTCTGGATTCTGAGTGCCTCCGCTGCCGAGAGCCCAGCTAGAGACACCGCAGAGGGCACAAGAAAGCGCTGAGTGGCTGTAGGGTCCCATGGGGAGGCATACACAGGCTCCTGGAAATCACAGCCAGTCTCAGGAGAGCAATTTGACAAAGCTTTCAGCCAGCTTTCCCTGCATGTCTTTGGCTACAGCTATGGCACCAGAACTTGCTGATGGGGTATGTGCCATGGGGGTAAATCCGAACTCCCAGAACATCTCTGATATCCAGGAGATCTTACACTCCTTTTAGAGACTCATGGGGGACAGACTGCTTCCAGGAAAGCGATGCAGATTCCTTATACTTACCCTTCCCCACCCTTTCCACACCTACACAGAGAAGCCTGCTTCAGTGTGCTGGCCCCACTGGCAATGGTCTGAGTCCAGCATGCACAGGCCTGGGGAACAAGTGCTGGGGTTTTATTCCCAATTCTATCCCTAGGTGCCCTTGAGCAAGACTCTTCATATCCCAATGCTATGATGGTCTCCTCTGCCCAGCTTTGTAAAGCCCTTGGGATCTACAGCTCAGAAGTGCTAAGCTGTTTTGTGGGGCGCTCACAGTCCCACTGGTTTACTATGGGGCTGCTGGCATTTAAAGAAACCAGGACACCTTGGATAGGCTTGAAAAAATTGAAGGACTTCCAAATGGATGCAGAGAGAGGCCAGATTTCCAGGCAATATGTTTGCTATCTCACTTTATCAGCCCCTATCAGGAGCCAGTAGCTGGGACTGAGCCTGGGTCTGACTGCTACCAGGACAGCCTTTGCCCCTTGATCTAAAGTGACTTATCTAGCTGCTCTCTTTATGTGGACACAGGACAAAGTCTGTTCAGGCTACATGACCCAGCTTGGAGAAGAGAAGACTGAGGGCGAGTTGGTGGGATGGCAATAACAACTAAAACATCATAGGAAAGCAGGGCTGGAAGGGACCCTGCTAGATGAAAGTTTCATCTATCCAGCCCCCTGCTCAAGGCAGGATCAACTCTGACTAAAGCATCCCAGCCACGTCTGTTCAACTTGGTATTGAAAACTTCCAGGGATGGAGATTTCCCATCTCTCTAGGCAGCCTGTTCCAGTGCTTGACCACCCTCAGAGTCAGAAAGTTCCTCCTCGTTTCCAGCCTCAGATTCCCTTGCTGCAACTTAAGGTCATTGCTCCTAGTCCTGTCCCCTGCAGCCACAGAGAAAAGCCCATCTCCATCCTCTCTGCCATCACCCTTTAGGGCTCTGAAGCCTGTTATCAAAACTCCCCTTACTCTTCCCTTCAGACTAAATAACCCGAGCTCTTTCAGCCTTTCCACATAAGTCTTGCTTCCCAGGCCACTAATCGTTGTTGTTGCTCTGTGCTGGACTCTTTCCAAATAGTCCACATCCTTCTTGAAGTGGGGCCCAAAACTGGACACAGGTGAGGTCTCACCAGTGCTGAGCAGAACGGGAGAATCACTGCCCTTGGTTTGCAAGTGACACTCCTGTTCACACAACCCCGGATGTGGTTGGTTTTTTTGCAACCGGAGCATGCTGTTGGCTCACATTTAGCTTATGGCCCACTGTAACCCCCTGGTCTTTCTCTGCAGTCCTGCAGCCCAGCAGTCATTCCCCAGGCTGTACTGGTGCATGAAACTATCCCATCCCAAGTGCAGGAGTTTGCACTTGTCCTTGCTGAGTTTCATCTGATTGACTGCAGATCATTTCTCCAGTCTATCCAAGTCATTCTGGATCCTAGCTCTGCCCTCCAGAGTAGCTGCCACCCCACCCAACTTAGTGCCATCCACAGATTTGCTTAGTGTGCACTTGAACCCATCATCCAACTTGTTAATGAAGATGCTAAACAAAACCCCTGGGGAAGCCCACTTGATACCTCCTCCAAACTTGACATTGATCTGTTGATAACTACCGGTTGAACACAATGATCCAGCCACCATACAGTACTTTCATCTAGTCTGCATTTCCTTAACTTGTTAATGAGAAGGTTGTGGGAGACCATATCAAAAGCTTTGCTGAAGTCAAGGTATATCACTGCTCTCCCCTGTCCACACAGCCTGTCAGCTTATCACAGAAGAAAATCAGGTTGGGAAATAAAAACTCACCCCACCCTCCCCTCCAGGACACGTAAAACATTTGCTTGTTGGGCACCGAACAGGCCTGAGACTCACCGTCGCTGGCCCACTTGGAAAACTCCGGCGTTATTCGGGTACTGGGCGTGCCGCCACTGAAACAAAAAGAGGAGAGAAGGCTGAAAGCCAGCTCCAGCAAACACGTGCCCCTTGGAGAACTAGGAGCTTCCCACAAACAGCCCCATGCCCTTCAGTCTGGGCTTTGAAGGGGGACCTGCCTGGCTTTACAGGAGATGCCTATGCATCTCTGCTGACAGGCTCAAAACCTAATCCTCTAGCACTGGCCCTTGCCACACCACACAGAGATCAGGACATGCTGATGGAGGCTTGGGATCTCTATTTAATGTACAGCCCACCCTTGGACCTGGGGTCCCCAGAGAGGCAGGCTCAATAGTTCAAGGCTTCTCTCTCTGCTACGATGGTTTCTCCCCTGAAGAGCTACACCCTGCCACAGCAGTGGGCTTTTAGTGCTTTGAATTTGGGAAAAGCACAGGGAACCGGCAACTGTGTCCGTTCCACTGCAAGCCAATACAAGGGGAGCCTGGAAATCCTGACCACTAACAAGCACTTTCAGCTCTGTGCTAATGGGGCTCCGTGAGGCCCCTGCTGTAGGACACAGGGCTGCAGAATTCTTCACAGCTCCACAGGACCCACGCAGCCATCTCCCGGCCCACAAACAGGGCATGGGAGCCAGGGGGAGACATGGGCCACGTCCTCAAGGAATTGCTGTGTCTGCAGGGTGCTACGATATACTAAGGAATGTGGAGGCCGGCTAACTGGCCCTGCCCCTCAGCAATGTTAACTGGCTTGGCTGGAGAGCTGCAGGGGCACAACCATGCTGCTTCTGGTGCCAGCACAGCTATGGCACCTCAGTGATGGGGCCACAGGCCAGGGCCAGGTCTCCTGGTACCCACCTCCTGCTATAACGCCACAACACACACCTAGGTGCTGCAAGGGATTTTCTTGGAGCTTCACACCCCTTTGCTGCTCACCTGGCTGATGGACTGCCTTTGGCCTCACTTGGAAGTGCCGGGAAGCAAAGTCTGTCTGCTTCGGCATGGTGAACCCTAAGTTTCTATGGAGTGGAACCTAATTCTGAGCCGCTGCCTGTGACAGGCTAAGCAGTAAGAAAGCTTCATTCCACCGCTCTATCAATCACTTCAACCCTGACCTCACATGATCGCTCAGTCTAAGAGACAGAGGGGTAATTTCAGCCCGGTTTCCAGGCAGGGCAGAGGCCTTGGAAAACAATCCCAGCTCCCTGTTAACAGTCATTTTGCTATTTGCCTGAAGTGCCTCTCCACACGCCCTATGCCTTAGCTCCTGGCACGTGCTGGCTGCTAGCAAACTGCAGTAAGCGAGCTGGTGCACTCTTCTCCCAGGCCAGTGGTCACCCCTGGCCTGCCCCCACCCCAAGGTGAAGTGCAGAGGGGTCAGCTTGCGGGTCCCATGCCAAGCAGCCACACTTGGGGGCCAGCCTCCATGTGCAGATCCACGGTGCAGCCTGGGTGGCAGCCATGTGCTGCAGGCCTCTGTCATGAGGGCTGGGCTCCATCCTAGTGCAGGACAAAGCCTAGAGTTCCAGTGGTGAAAATCTGCACCCCGCCCAGCCAGGAGAGAGCTAGTACTGCCCCAAAAGTAGGCCACGCTGCCTGGGGAGGAGACATGGCCTGGGGGCTTGAGTAGCAGGCTGTCTGCGAAGCCCCAATCACCACCTCCTGGGCGCTGGGTGGGGAATTCAGCCCCACACCCTGCAAATGTCTCCTTAGGGAGTTCGGCATTTCCCTTTCTCCCACCAGCCCCACACATTCCCACCCCACCGTTTGCAGCCCAGCAGACAGGCCAGATACTCACTTTAAGACAGCACCGCGGAGCGCCTCCCTTTCTTTGGCTTCGCCCGGCTCTTCCCCGGTGCAAGGGATGATGTCAGCTTCCGTGTACCTGAATGAAGGGTTAAGGAGGGCACTGCTCGGCCAAGGGAGGCATCACCAGCCATCCAGCTGATGCAGGCTGAACTGGACGGGCCACTGATGGGCTGAGCGCAGCCATTACCTCTGAACTCTGCATTGAGTTCTTATCTCCAGAGGAGCCAAACCAGGGCCCTGGTGACACCCTTCGGGGTGGGGACGGACAGTGGCTTCTTTTCTGATGTGGAGACATCCCCTGGATACATTATGAGGGGCTGAGCTAGTATAGGATGTGACATGGTCTCTATACCCTGCCACATTTTTAGGAGGCCAGTCTCTGCCTGCAGTGGATTGGGGCTAGGCTCCTTGCTGATGTCCACCGCCTCCAGCTGAGTAAAGACAACTGACATCAGCTGAGGGGCAGGGCACTAGCTGTAAACACAGGTGCAAGTTTTAATTAAAATCCTGGAACAGCTAATCATTCCCCACCCTGAGGATGGAAGCGTCTAATTGCTTCCTGCCTGTGTGCTGAACTGGGGGCTACTTACCCTGGTGCTGGGGATCTAGTAAGAACTATGAAAGTTTCTAGGTACGGTGGAGCTGCCCTGACCTCAATTCCTCAAGGGAGGACCGAGAAAGCACCTTTTCAGTGCAAGGGGCACAGCTGGGAGAGCAAACTCCTGGCTACGGAAGCAGGCAAGCCCTGCTAGCACATACTGCCCTGTGCACCGCCTCTGAGAAAAGCACAGGAGATGGCATGTGCCAGGGAAACCTTGAGGGCAGCTAGGAAGTGGGGGGTGATGGGCTGACAGCAAAGCAGGCTGAGGCAGTCAGCTGAACGTGGCACGGGTAACTGGGGAGGATTATGAAACAGCCCATCAACTGCACTAGGAAAACAGCCCAAAGGCTCGAATTCAGGGGGTTTCTCCCAAACCCTGGGTCTGAGGCAGAAACCTGGACAGAGAAGGAACTGTAATGGAAATGGAAGGAAGCATTATGGCAGGTATGGGGGCCCATCCCGGTCCAAAGAAGCCCCGAGCAGCCACGTGGGGAGCGGCTGCAGCCCCAGGGAGGCAAACTGGGATTGCAGCAACAACCAGAGCAGCAGACGCAGCCTCGGGGCTTGCCGAGTTTAGAACCTCTCAAAAATGATACTGTGGCTTCCCGTATTCGAGTGTGTCGTCCCCATCCACATCGAGGTCGGCGTCGCTGTCGGGATTCTCCTTCCCACTGCACATGACGAACCCAGAGCCTGGAGGGGACAAAACAGGCAGGCGTGCGTCACAATGTGGAGCTCTGTGGCAAATGCCCGAAAAAACAATGGCCCAGAGGCTACCAGCTTGCCATGTATTGGGAAGTGCAGCAGTGTCCCACGGCAGTGTCGTGGCGGGTGGGACTCCCCCACGACAATTCTAGCAAGTTTTGAACTCTGTTTGCTGAAGAGTGAGAATAAACCCAACTTCTGGGCAGACACTCAGTGCCAGCTGACAGCCAGGGCTCCCACAGGCCCCCTGCTACAGGTGATGAGGGAGTCAGCACAGTGCCAGTATCTCTGTCTTGGGGGATCCCCATCCAACCCCAGGAGAAGCAAAGGGGGACCAGCCCCTTCCCATGGAACAGCCGCACTTGGTTAGAGGAAGAGTATTCTGCCTATTTGGGCTCTTGGGCAGTGACTGTCCATTCCTTAATGGCCAGGATAGCTCAGCCAGGCAGCCAAGGCTATGGGTGGAGGGTGGTGCAGCTGGGGACAGTTTACCAAGTACCCATGAGGGAAGTGGACCTGCTCATTATTTGCGATGTGATGTCTTTGCTGGCAGGTGGGGAAACCAAGGCATGGAGATCTAAGCGAGTAACCATCACCAACATCACGCTGGGTGTCTGATATAAAGCTGGTAAAGGAGCCCAGCCCTTCTGGGTCCCAACCTGGGCTGTTAAACCCACAGCCAACGTCCCTGTGCTGCACAGCTGTAGTAAAGCCGCACACCTGAATGGTGGATTGCATGGCTCCTCCCGCCCGGCCAGGCCACTGCGTTCCCGTCTTAGCAAAGCTTTCAGAGCAGGGACCTCATACTGAAGGTCACTGCGGGAAGGGGAAGGCTGAGCTACCCAGGGGCTGAGCTGGAGAAGCACTAGTGATGCCCCATAGGGATGGGAATCCCCCTGTGCCCAGTGCAGCTTGTTGGGTCATGCCCGGGTCTGATGTGAGCACCGTGGAGCAGGAGACTAGCTCCATTTCGCTGGCAGCAGGAGTGCAGCAGTACATCTGGCTGGTGAGAGCTGTGTGGGGAGTTCAGCAGGGGGGAGATCTCACTTCCAAGGCCACTGAACGGATTCACAGAAGTTTAGGGCTGGAAGGGATGCAGCCAGCTCCCGCTGCTCTCTACAGACATATGCGCTACCCCACTGCTAAAGCCACTAATAATGTTCATTAACATGGATCTCATAGTTCCCCTCCTTGTATAAACCCGAGGGCTCTGTGGCATAATAGTTTCCAGAAGACCCTCTCCCCAGAAGCGGAGTCAGCTTTTGCCCCACTGCACTCCATTTTCACCCGATTCCTGCGCAAGTGCAGAGGCAGAGGCCACAGCTTGAGGTGTGCAGCAGCTCTGAGGACCTGGGTCGTGCCAGCAGTGAGGCTGGGGCAGCCTCTCTACCCTCGGACATCCCATGTCAAGTCCAGGTTACACTGCGCTGCACGCCACCAGCCAGCATCTGTCCCAAGCTGCCTTCTCTCCTCTAGTAAATCTCAACCCTCTCAATTCATCATGATGCTCAGGAGAAGATTTAAAGTGCCAGGAGAGACCTGTCAAAGGAGCTGGAGACTTTCGGAGCTGCCCAAGAACTGGCCGTAGGCGACACGGCTACAATTTATGAGTGTAGCATTTAACCCCCTGTAACACCATCCTCCGCACCTGGCACTGCTTTAGCCCATCACTGCTACAAGGCCGTAAACTCTGGACACGCAGGGCTACATCTGTCTTTTGAAGAGGAGGGAGACACAAATCATGCAAAGCTGGAACCACGACCTGGCCAGTCCCAGAGGTGAGCAGAATGTGAGCCAGATAACGAATGCCTGGGACATGGGCCCAGGGTCAACGGAGCGACTGGCACAGGGGCTGGAGAGAGATCCTGCCACTCACAGGCCCACTTGAAGGGACCAAGTGCATGGGGAATGGGTGTCTTTCCATCGTTTCGTTTCCAAGTTGTGCAAGCCAAAGAGACAAGCGCTTTAGAATCAAGAGGCCAGGCCTGCTTGGTGCGATGCAATGCACCCCTATTAGGGTACTATCAACCCCCTCACACTCCCGCTGGGATTGACACAAATCCTTGCAGAGACCTACAGTGGCAGCTCCCTTGGCATCTGCACGCAGCATGTTTAAAGAACCCAGCACAGCCACATGATGCCTGCCAGCTTCATACTAGAAATCACAGAGCCGTGGGGCTGGCAGGGACCTGTGGAGGTTGCATCTGGTCCAACCCCTGCTTGAGGCAGGATCAGCCCTGTCCAAACCAGGACAGACAAATCCAGTGTCCGACCTCTGAGCAACATGACAGCCTTGGCACAACACAGAACTTCACACCTGAACCTGTCACAGGGAAAGCAAGGGGACCACAGCTGCCAATGTCTTGTTAAAGGTTGCTAATATACGTTCAAGAGATCTGAGGCAGAGGCTGTACCCCTGCTACAGAGGAAGGCAAAACTCCCCCAAGTCCGTACCAATCTGACTGGGGGGAAGAATTCCCTCCTGACCCCAAATTTGGCATTGGTCTGACCCCAAGTGGAAGAGCAAGACCCTTTAACCAAGACTCTGCAGGGTTGGTCCCAACAGGAACACTCCCCACCCCCACCCCCACCCCGGGTTGCAGCCAGCACCCAGCACCTCTGAGGGAGGCTTAAAGTAGAACTATCCCTGTTCAGGAGCTGTCCAGTGCACGCAGCATTTTGGTTTTCATCTGCCAGAAATACTGCCCCAGAGACCAGGCCACATGGTGCGGTAAGATCCCACGGTGGCGCTCCCCAGCTGTGACAGCTGCTGATGGAGAACTGGAAGAAAAGGGGGACCATGCCCTAGTCCTAGGGCTGCCAGGAGGGGACATTTCCATTGTGACCTCTGTGACATCAGTGCCAGGCCCTGTCTCAGTGCAGGGAAGCAAACCCTTTGTTCTTCCAGCATCAGAAAAGTTCAGCGGCCTTTGCAAGGGGCAGAGCTGTGTGACAAAGGAGGCCAAATCACTTCGACAACAGGACAGAGGATGCTTTTCGGAGATGCTTCAAGTATGGTTGTCCTACGCCTTGAGATAAACCTTCATCCCTTACTACCAGAGACCAGCTTGGTCACCATGTGTAGAGCACAACTGCAGCAGGTCCTGTGTCTGGTCCACTAGGACAAGCCAGGATTAGGATGAGCCTTCAACAGCACCAGCAGAGCCCAGACTGACACCATGTGCCTAGTGGGTTTTGCATGCCCACTACAGGGTACCAGAAGGGAGCCACTCCTCTGAGGATGGAGGCTTGGCTCTCAAAAGGTGCGGCAGCTTGAGTGCCGAGTCACCTGTAAAACAGCTCGATTTAAATGGTACTAGTGGAGTAATGTCCACTCAGAGGAAGGCTTAAAAACACCCTGATACTCTCCATCACTGGAGGTGTTCAAGAAGAGGGTAGACAGACACGGATCAGGGATGATCTAGGCATAGCGATGCCTGGTTCTGCTATGGGAGCTTCCCAGGCTTTTGGGCTTTGCTGGTTGCCCTTTCTCCCTCTTTCTGTTCCATGTGTCAAGGTGTTTGCAAGCCAGCCTCAGAAGCACTGAGTGTTGGGATGGGGACTGGACTGTGCCAATGCTCTTGCTGAGATTTAAAGCCAGAGGCTCTTGGCTAGTGGGTTTTTCCCCCTCCACTTGGGGTCAGACCAATGCCACATCTGGGTTCAGGAAGGAATTCCCCCCCTGGTCAGACTGGTTCAGACTGGGGGGGTTTGCCTACCTCTGCAGCAGGGGCACGGCCCTGCCTGTGTTAACACCTCTGTACAGCAGGAGGATGTTGGCTGTGTAGTCCCCGTTTTACCTGTGGTAAGGTTGGGAGTGATGTCTTAGAAATCATAGAAAATGAGGGCTAGAAGGGACCTCAGGAGGTCACCTAGTCCACCCTCAATCCAGGGGTGACTGCTGTGCTGCTCAGAGGTGGGATTCTGGGTTCGTCTGGGCTGGTTTGGACAGGGCTGATCCTGCCTCAAGCAGGGGTTGGACTGGATGTGACCTCTGCAGTTTCCTCCCTTCCAGCCCCGCTTCTCTGTGATTCTACGTGGAGTCCGACTGGCATGAAAGCTAGCCAGAGCCCACCTTGCGGGGAGCAGGCAACACCGAAGGGTTTGGGCTGCCCTGAAGGGGCATCACAGAGAAAGGGGCTCCAGCACGATCTAATAGATCTAGAAAGTGATGTCAAGTCGAGAAGCTCCTCAAATGGAGCAAGGGGGGGACACAGAGGGTTTAAAATTCAGATGTGCTTTAGAGGAGGGGCTACAAGTCAAACTTCCCTCCCTGACAGCACTTGGGGGTTAGGTAGGCCCCAGAAATCCAGCCCCAGGTCTTTCTCGAATACATGTCCCCAGCTTCACACACCTTTGCTTGCACAAGGCCCAGGATTTCTGTACCAAGAACGCAAGTTATAATGGATTGCGCTTTGTCAGCCAGCTAAGCCAGGACCGGTATTTCTCAACGCGTGGAACAAAGCACACGCCGCGCCTGGTGGAAAAGTCACAATATAAGCTCTGCCATTTATCAGTTTAAGAAATTCACAGCTTCCTGGTTTCGAAGAGGGAGTGCGGTACCGTGGCGCATTGGGACTGAATGACAAGGTCATAAATCCCAAGCTCACCACTGCATGTGGGAGAACGCTGGAGAACAAAATGCAGCGCACGGCCCGAGCTGAGAGCAGCTGGGGGACCGGTGGCCTCTGGCCCACACGTTCAAAAACCCCTCACCCAAGACCAGGTCGGTGTGTAAGGCCAGTTCCGCTAGGTTGGGGTTTACAGCCACCGCTTCAAGCTGTCCCTCCGTGTCTAACTCCCTGGGTTGCTTCCCTGGGCAAAGCCAGCAAAAACACCCAAGCAGCTGTTCAAATATTTGACGTCTGAACTGCCTGACATTATTCATTCAGCTTGGGCTCATTCAAACCAGATTTCTGGTCAAGCGCTGTTATAAATGGATTAGGAGGAACGCAAAACGCAAGGGCGGCCTGACAGGAACACACCTG